ACTAAAAACAAACAGACAAGAGAAAACGGGAGGAAGACTTGAATGACTATAGATATATAAGAAAAGAAATCTGTAGAGGCAAGTAAACAGGCAAATGAAATTATGCTGAGCCTCATTAATAATTGGAAGAATGCGTATGTTTGAGGTAATTACAGAAGAGTTACAAAAATAGTAAAGTTCCCATAAATCCTTCATCCAGCTTCCCCTTATGTGACTATCTTACATAACCATAGAACAATTTTCAAAACTAGGGTATTAATCTTGACACCATACTATTAACTAAAGTACAAAATTAGTTTGTATTTGAATTTTGCCTCTAATATCCAGGATCACATCTAGGATCCCACATTGCATTTAATTATACTTTTTTTTGTCATCTCTATTCTTTGACAGTTCCTCAGTTTTTCCTTGTCTTTCATAACATGACATATTGGAGCAATATCAGTCAGTTATTTATAAAAGTCCTTCAATTTGGCTTTGTCTGATGTTTTCTCTTGATTAGACTGAGGTTTCCATTATTTGGAAGGATATTACAGAGGTGTTGTGACCTTCTCATTGCAACATTTCAGGGAGCATCTGATGTTGAAATGTATCATTTGTGATGTTAACCTTGATCAATTGGTTTAGGTAGTGCCCACTCACATTCTCCATTGTAAAATTGCTGTTTTTCCCTTTGTAGTTAATAAATATTTGGGGTGAGATAATTTGAGACTATGCAAATATCTTATTTCTGCTTAAACTTCAGTCTTCTAATTTTAGCATCCATTGGTGGATCTCTTTTTGGCTCATAGATGTCCAGATTTTCCCCACACAGAATTATCCTTGGGTGACTAAGAACAATGGTGATGCAATATTTCCTGAGTGCTTCACTGTTGTCTCCAAGATTTTATTTGAAGCTGTTAAAAGCCATAGTGGTAGGAAAAATATTAAGACGGCACACAAGATTCCCACCCACTGGTGTACAAGCCTCGTATAATCCCTTTCCCTTGACTGCAGGCAGAGCCCTGGTGGTGTACTGGTTAAGAGCTTGGCTAACCAAAAGGTTGGCAGTTTGAATCCACCAGGCACTCCTTGGAAACCCTATGGGGCAGTTCTACTCTGTCCTATACGGTTGCTATGAGTTGGAATCGACTCCACCGCAACGGGTTTTGAGTGTGGGCGGGTCCTGTGGATATGAGGGGATACCACTGTCATAAGTATGATATCTTATGTGGCAGTCTTGACACTTTGGAACAATATATGTAAATTATTTTGTAAAAATCCTTCAATTTGGTTTCGTGCTTATATAGCAATATGACTGCTTATAGTGAAATGTGTCTAATATAAACAAGGAAGATGCAGAATTAAAAATTAGGAAGTCAAATAATAACAAGGGTTTTAAAAATGTTTAATTTTATTATATGTATGTATGTATGTATCTCTAAACAATGTGCTGTATCGTCACAGAATGGAATATTTTACATCAATAAAAATGGATGACAGTTACATACAATAAAATGGATGAATCTTAGAAACAATGTTGAGTGAAAAACTCAAATCCTTGTAGACTGTATACAGTACACCATTTTTATAAAATTCAAAAAGGTGCAAAACTAAAAAGTATGTCATTTTAGGGAAAACAAATATTTTAGGCCTTTTTACATATGTGATAAAACTTTAAAAAAGGAGCAAGGGAGTAGGGAGGGATAGAAGAGGAGCTCAAATAAGTAAATGGAAAGTATGGGTAATGTTCTAATTCGCAAATTAGATGATGAGTTATTATGCATGATCATTTATTTGGTTGTCACATTTATCATTTTATAAGTGTAAGTACATTAAAAATGTAAGTGCAAAAATATGCCCAAAGTGTTGACCATATTCACATGGTTGTTTTTAAAATTATTTTTTTTACTAGTCGGGGTTCTTAATATAGGCAATTCGGATTTATTTCAGCATAAAATAATTGTACTAAAAGGTTATTAGGTAGTTCTCAGGAGCTCTAGGACAGCTGGAAAACCAGAATTAGAGGCTACATAGCCTCTTATCATGTCAGAGAGTTTCTTCAGTTAAGGCTCCACTGTTTCGCACAGAAACTACAGCTTACACCATTGGCTTTGCTGAAACTGGATAGTGGATGTTGTCACAAGAACCATTTTTGCTGCTCCTCTGTGAAGCTGGACGTAGCAGCCAGTGCTGTTGGTCATCACCTTCACTCAAGGGATTCTGCATGGTTCCCTGCCTTCTTTGCATCACTAACCTTAAAGTTTAAGGCAGATGTATCTTCCCTAGCTGCAAAGGAGCTTGGGAAATCATGTATCTGGCGCTTTCAAATTCTTTCAGAGGTAGGATGGCTCTGCTCACACATAGGATGGGAGTCTGGGTACTGACTGATGTAATGACTGATGTCTGTCACAGCCCATTCTCTTTCAGCTCTTACACTTATTAAAAAAAAGTTTCCACACAACATAATTGTACTCTGTGTAAAAGGATTTGTGTCAGACACTGTTTGTTAGTTGCTTTCTCAATTTCCTCTTTGTAAATATAATAGTGATTTTATTTGGGGCAGCAATGTACCCAGTTCTCTCTTGCTGATAAGTGGCCATGTGATAGGTCAGGCAAATAAGACATGGGGAAAATTGTTTGGGATTTCTGGAAAAGCTTTGCTTTTCCTGATAGAAGTGGATACACAGAGCTGGCACAGGCCATTTCTCACATCCCACCCCCATCCCCCCGCCTTCAACTGGGGCATGATATCTGGCGTAGCAGCAACCTTCTTATAACCACAAGAAAACAGCATGAGGGACAAAGGCCAACATGCTAAAGAGGCAGATCTGAAAAGAACTGCACCCTTTCCTGCATGGAGTAAGGATCACTGAACTGATTAAGCATTACTCCTGCCAGTTGCAGACACACGTACTTTCAACTACATCATTCTAGAAAACAGATTACAAGTATATCTCGTTAGTTAAACCTCTGGAGCTCTGGCGGCACAGTGGTTAAAGTGATCAACTGCTAATGGAGCCCTGGGCGCAGTGGTTAAAGCAATTGACTGCTAATCGAAAAGATTGGTGGTTTAAAACCACCAACAGCTCCCTGGGAGAAAGATGTGGCAGTCTGCTTCCGTGGAGATTTACAGCCTCGGAAATCCTATGGGGTTGCTATAAGTCAGAATCGACTTCACAGCAGTGGAGGGATAGTTAAAATGTCATTCACTGAATTCATGATACTTTTAAAATATATATATGGGCTGTAGTGTTTCTTTTGCACTATTAATAAAAATAGATTTTGCTAATCAAGAACCACTTGAACTCAGCAATATTTGGCATTTAAAGGCAGCATAACTTAGTGGTTAAAAATGTGTTGAGTCTGCCTGGGTTTGAATTTTGGACAAAAACCTCTTTGTGCCTGAGCATCTGTAAGATGAGGTACAGTTGAAATGCAGATTATATAATACCTGACACATAGTAAAGCACAAAATAAATGATATTTTTGGGAATACCATCCACTTTTTGCTTTTGTGACACCAAACTTTCCTAGTTCTCCTATCCATTTGTTGTTTCTATTGGATTCTCAAGTTAAAATAGTTCCTCCTCTGTATTCTATACATACTTACATCAAATTTATCACACTGCATTGTAATTATATGCATACTTGTCTCTCTTTCTAGACTTTTCTTTGAAGTGTCAATGCTTTTTTTTCTATTCATAACTCCTAATGAAATGTCTGGCACAAAGTAGATTAGATATTCTCAAACTAGCGTCCTTGGAGTTACCCGGGATGCTTACTAAAATACAAATTCCTGATCTCCATCCTCAAATTTCTCTTTCAGTAGGTTACTGAACCACATTTCAAGAAACAGATCTTAAAATGTGTAAATAAAACTATGCATGAAGTATTAATGTAAGTCAAGGTAATAAGGTAAATATCGACATATTTAAATGTTTTTCAAAATACTTCCAAACCTAGGTGTTTATAATTTATGATTTCTAATCATGGTATGAGGATACCTCTAAAAGCACTTCAGCAACAACTATTTGTACAATTGTACTGCTGAATACATTTATGAAAATCTCCTTTGACTGACAAAATTGCTTAATATATACACACATATATATACTGTATACATATATTTATGAAAAACCCTCTGCACTTCCCAGTATCAGACTCATTACTGAGTAAAATCAGCTAATCTTCTCAAAGTTAGGTTTTTATTAGAGAATTTCATACCAAGATTTTGCAAACCAGTCAAAGTCCTCCATCCACTGCAAAAGCAACTTTATTATAATCTACTCAAATTAAAGTCAAGGGCATACCTATGGAGGGTGCTGAAAGCCCTCCATATTGCCTTTGGACTCATACTTTAAGCTTTCCATTTGTCAGGGGTAAAAGTTAACATAATTTATTCTGAAACCTGAGATGTAAAAGACTTTATAAATAGCTCTAAAGGTACATAACAGCAAATGACAAAAGGGACATGTTATACCTTAATGAGCCATCTGATTATCTCCACTGTGACATCTGGTGTGGGGTACCTGCCTCCTGTATGGACTCGTGGGACACATGGCGGCACCAAGGGCATACTTCAAGGCAAAAAACTGCACTAAAAGTCCTGGGGACTAGCAGTAGGTCCTCTCAAATTAAGAGTGAAGACACCAGGCCACAAAGTGACAACTCTCAGCACCAGAGAGACTAAAAGTTTACTTATTCATGGGAAATAAAATAGAAATGCCTACACTTAGGAGTGGACACGTTTTTCAGTCAAATTCTATGCAGGGTACTGAACAGAAATTTGTGAAACCTGATGACATATACCTATTTATTCAAGTCCACCACTTTAAGGAAAAGTCCAATGCTATAACTGGCATCAGTTGCGTTTAGGGTATCTTGGAGAGATTTTGTTTCTTTAGCTGGAATTAACTCTTTGACTGTACAAAAGAAATTTTACATCACATAAAGCACTAGCAAAAAAACTTAATACTGTACCTGTATGGTGCTTAGTGTTGCTGGAAAATATTGACAAGTTTAGCATTCATAATTTCATTTATTTGTGGAAAAACCTAAAAATAGTATAATGAAGTAATTTGTATAATTGGGATGAGGGAATGAGTTGATGAGTAAGCCTAGGTGACCACCCAGTATTTGAATCTCAACATTGCTTTGTTGTTGTCTATATAACATTATGGATATAGTAATTCTCATTAGGTGATAAAACTTTGTTTCATTTAGAAAAAAAATGGATCCAAAAAGAAAGCCAACTACTAGTGCTAGCAATAAAAGACATCTAGGTGATGGTTCTTAATTGTAAAATGTAGTAGCTAAGAACTATGATGTAAATAAGTCTACTATGTGCTCTTTGCACTGGGTAAATTACCTAAGTTGAAGATTTCCTAGTAGGACATGAATGAAAAACTGAGTACTTAGAATAAGTAAAAGCTACTTTTAGCATTTGAAGTAAGCATGCGTGTGCGCACGCATGTACATACAAGTTTCTCAGCATTCTCTGAATATGACAACTATACTACGACTGGAAAAAAACAGTTAACTTATTTCCAAGTATGTTTCCTGGGGACTAGCAGTAGGTCCTCTTGAATTAAAGAGTGAAAACATAAGGCGACAAAGTGACAACTCTTAGCACTAGAGAGACTTAAAACTTTCAGAGCTGAATGACATTACAAGTCAGAGAATCTCAGTCTAGTTCTGTGGAACCATTATCATTTTTGTTAAATGGGAAAAATCCAGGTATATGCAAAACAGATTTTAAAAGTTGCATCTCTTTTTGAAGTTCTTTAGAACTGCATTTTACAATCCTATGTAAAATAAAATTACTGGTTTACAATAAAATGCTTTAAGTTTCGGAGATGTGAAAAAACTAAAATGAACTGAAAACAGTTAATGTAAACTAAGGTCCCAGAAGTGAGAATTAAAAGTAGTCTCTTGGAGAAAGGAATGGTGAAATTCAGTGTGTATTCTCACTAACACACTAGAAAACTGTTTTGTGGGCAGCCGACATTGACTAGCAATTCTGAACTGCCACCTGGTACCTTTAATCAACATTAAATCACGCCTGAGGCAAGACACTGAACAGATTATACTTCAATGGAAACATAATAACTTCTTTCCTTGATAGACAAGGTCCATTAGCATTCAGGAGGTGAGTTATTTGATGGCTTGGGAAGCAGTGTCCATTGAGTCTTCTTTTCTGACTTGAAGAGACTCACTGCTGATGGACAACAATTCTCGAAGTTCCTTATTCTCAAGCTGGAAGAAAAAGGGTGTATGTTCATTTCAAGTATTTTTACTGTCAAAATGGATCAGAATACTTTGTTATGGGCCATACAGACATATTAAAAGTTCTAAGGAAACAAAAAACCCACTGGCTGATAACTTCCTAAAATACTACTTATTCATTCAACAAACATTTACTGAGTAATTTCTATATGTCAAGTGTTAGGTGTACAAAGATAAATAAAACAAGGTCTCTCTCCACTTTAGAGATTCACTATTTGTCATACTCTTCATGGTTCCCACAGGTTTACTATTATTTCTTCCATCTTTCAAATTCCTAATAATCTTGTCAGGAAAACAGAAGAAACTTATTGAGCATATGGCCAGGCATCGTGTGGGTACTTTACATATGTTACAACAATCTGTAAGGTGGGTATCATTGCTGACAACGGCATTCTATTTAAGATGAGGACACTGGCTCAGAACTCAAAAAACTTGTTCATACTCAGACACTAGGACGTGGTATTGCTGGGGTCTGAATCCAATGCTATGCTTTTTCCATTTACAGTATGAAGTAAACTTGTCCCACATTCCCCTAAAGCTGTTTGCATAACTAGGGTAAAACAGGGTGCAGTGTGACTGCTTTTGTGTGGCCTTTCTAGTCATGGTCTTGTAACTCCCACCCAAATGAACGGGCAGGACCATACAGATAGGGATTGGAACGGGATTGGTCAGTTTTGCCATCCTGCTGGAATTGAAATGAGCTATCCCATAGGTGGGAAAGAGAATCCCACCACTGCCAGGGAAGAAGAGCCAGGAGCTGGTGAGTCCTTTGGACCTGAGATCCCTGTGCTGGGAGGCTCCTGGGACCAGGAGACAGTGAGCAAGCTGTAACCCTGAAGATGGTGAGGAGTGGTGGCAGCAGAGACCCGGCAACACAAGTTGGCATGGTGGGCTTCCTGGCCCACGGAGAGACAAAGCTGAGTGTCTTTGGGCAGAGGCCTAGGGCCAGGAAGCACGTGTGAGCATGGCTGGGAAGAGGCTGTCCTGATGGAAAAACTGGATCCTTGAGTGTTCCTGAGCCTGAATTACAACCTGTTGCTTTCCTAATAAACCCCATAATCGTAAGTATCGTCTGTGAGTTGTGTGTGGCCACTGCAATGAATTATCAAACCCAGCAGAGAAGTAGTGAGTACTGTGGGAGGGACAGTTGGTGTCTGAACTGGTAAAGATGGTAGAGAGAGAAGGCATGTCTGACTTCCGCCTCATAGGAATCAGCCTTGGACTGCTGATCTTGACTCTCCTTTCCCCTTGTGAAGTTGGAGGTCAGATGCTGCCCCCATGCTGGTTTTACACAGGACAGCATTGACAAGGTTGTTCTTTCATTTAACTAGCTGGTAATTCCTACTTGGGACCTTGCCATTCTCTTTAATTTCCAGATAGCGCAGCTTGCACTCTTTATCCTTATTTTCTCTGCAGGAAATTCTGGTAAACCACTGCATTTTCAGGCTTCACCCAGAGGTCATCTGCCATATAAAGGACTTCCCTCAGTACTCTGTATATCTCTCCTGGCACTTATATACCATTTCATATCATGTGAGTACTAGTCTTATTCCCTCCAGTAGACTCTGAGTTCTAATGGGCAGGGACCCTATCTTTTTCTCTGGTATTTCTCAAAGGGACCATGACAGAACCTTGTAATATGCAGCACTCAAACCATCTACTGAAATGTTTTTTACTTTATTTTACAGGCACACTAACACCCCAGGTGTTTCTTTATAATGTATTTGTTTTTAAAATATCAAGAACTATATGGCTTATAAAACAAATGGCAGTCCCTTGGCTTTATTCCTACGAAGGCAACCACTTTTAACACTGTGGTAGATTAATTATTTTTGTATGGGGCCTTTCTAGCCATAGCCTTGTAACTCCCACCCAGGTGACTGGGTGGGACTGTGTGATAATTGTGGCCCACCAAGGGAATTGGTCAGTTTTGCCTTAAAAGAGAGCCAATCCCAGAGCAGGAGGAGAAGCCTACCACCAAGGAAGGAGAGACCCAGGAGAGACCCGGCAACAGGAGACGATGTGGTGGGCTTCCTGGCCCATGTAAAGAGAGAGCTGAGTACCTTAGGGCAGAGACTGAGGGCCAGGAAGAGGTGTGCCTGTGATCACAGGTGGGGAGAGGCTATCCTGATGGAAGAACTGTATCCTGAGTGTTCTTGAGCTTCCCTAATAAAGCTCACCATCGTGAGTGTCATTTGTGAGTTCTGTATGGCCACTGCAATGAATAATCGAACCCAGCAGAGAGGTAGAGAGTGCTGTGGGAAGGACGGTGGGTGTCAGAATTAGTAAAGATGGTGTAGAGAAGAGGCTTGTATGGCCTCCGCCTCATGGGAGTTAGCCTTGTGCTGTTGATCTTGGTTCTCCTTCCCCCTTGTGGGGTTGGAAGAGGTCAGACACCCCCCTGCCCACGCCATTTTTACAAACACTTTTACCTATTTCTTTTGGTATTTACTTCCATAATCCTGAATAACATGCCTGTACTACAACTCCTGATCATCAGTTTTAGACATTATCTGTTGACTTCCTATTATGGAAGATGAGGAATTTTAGCTCACATATAACCAGTCCCTTCCACTCTCTCCACCCTCCTAATGTGACAATATTTCAACTACCAGCCAATCTGTAGTTAGTATTTTCACTGTTTGCTACCTATCACATTTCCTTTCTTAAAGAAGGTATAGAGAAGGAGTTTTAATTTTAAATCATGAGCACACATGAAGCATGAATACATTACAGTGACAGAATAGTGATAACATACATGTCTTCCAGACTCCATGAAAACTTCCTGAAATATGGTGAAGCTAAAATAGCAACAATCTTACCTCTAATTGGGCTAGTTTTTCCTGAACCTTACAAAACTGGTCATCATCCACCTGAACTGCTTTTCTCATCACTTCTCCCATTTCACAGATTCTGTCAATTTGACTTTCAATTTCCTGTGATGGTATTAAGAAAGAAAAGGTGAAAAAGTAATTTTTCTACAGATATGAAGCTCATGAGAACATATGCATTATGATTTAAAAAGTTCATTTGATCTATGCTACAGAGGTTACAATGAAGCTTCACTATATAATCTGAGTCCTCAGGAGTAAAGCCATAATAAAGTGGCCGTGTAATACAAATAATTTTAGTTTTAAAAAAGTCAGTTCTAGTGTAACCATTGGATGTTGGACTATATCTCTAAGTGGCTGTTTAACTTTAGTTTGAACAGTTTTACTGGCAGGAAGCTTATAACATTCCAGGGTGCCTTTTTCCATCTTTGGACAGCTCAGAAAGTTTTCCTGTATCATCTAAATTGTTTCCTTAAGGGTCAGTAAATTGGTAAAATTCATTTTCCTCCTCTAGATGAAAGCCATTCAAATGTCTAAATGGAGCTATCCCTATTCCCTAAGACTTCTGTTAAGTTAGTAAAGTCAATAGAATCTAAGATGAAATTTCTCTCTCACTAAATTCCACTGTAGCAAACAGCGAGGTTCCAATCTATTAATCCAGGATTAAATGATATGGTACATGTGAATGTACCATGACAACTATGAAGCACCCTATAAACATAAGAACAATTACTGGGTCTCCCAAATTAAATCATAAGCATCCTAAGTGTAGAAACTATGCTACATGTATTTTTTAAACAACACTATTCTCCCCTGACAATACAGTATGATGCTATATAGTTCAGTTTGACACTTACAACACTAACTGGCATTATGTTTCGTGAAAGAGCTAACCATTCCTTAACATCCTGAAAAAAGATCTTGGTATGGTAGAGGGAGGCAAGGGAACCCTGGCCCACTCAAATAAAAGGAACTGAGTACCTCCTCACCCCCTTCTTTCTATTCGTATCTTTACAAAGCTAAAACAAAATAAACAGCAAATGTGATAAATAGGAAAAGAAAACAAGGTTATTTTTCTTTGAAAACAAACACAAAATTTAAAATAATTTCCAGATTTCAATTCAGTTGATTTGGAATTTACTCATTAGAGTTTCTTACTGCAGAATGGGACTGGTGAGCTTTCAGGACTGGTTCAGCATCCACTGCTTTTTTAGCAACCATCAACTGTAACATCTGTTTCCGGTACTTGCTCATGATGAGTTCCAAGGCATCCTGGTGTTCCTCCAAGGAAACCCATAGCTCTATAAGAAAATAAAACAACTTGCAGCGATGTCTGAGAAACAGCTCCTAAAACCAAATGCTTTACAGTTGGAATTTTATGACACTCCATGAGATACTGTGAATCCAAAGTTGTAAATCAATGTTTAAGTCCACAAAACCAAACAGCTAAGGTTTATGTGAAAAATAACTTCCTAGGCAGACACCATAGTCTAGTAGAAACACCACTGGGTGTGGGATCAGAAGACACAGGTTTCAGTTCGGTTCTGTGACTTACTAGCTTAATACCCTTGGGCAAATCATTTAACCTCTCTGAATCTATTTCTTATCTGCAGTACTGTAATAATAAATACTAGGCTTGCCTACATCACAATGAAGATAGGAGAATACAATCTGAAATTATATGTGAAAACCTTCTGTAAACTAATATACAAGTAACTATTAATACTACTATCATTAACAATGCAGTCATCATGTCTAAGAACATATATCCTGAGGATAAAATTCTGTTTACACCTTAAGCAAGAACATTAAATTTAAAAAAAACTTCAATTTTAACTTTAATGTTTATTTCAATTACTATTTAAACATTAAATTCTAAGCCCTTTGAGGATGTGAACTCTTTTGTTATGCAAGCCTCTATCCGGGGATATTTAAACATGCCATGCAATAATTCAACTCTATTAAGAACCTCTTTGATGAGCTGTCTATAAATACTAAGTCAGATGACCTTGAAAAAGATAATTTAACAATTACACTGTATCCTTACTGGGCCAGCACGGGATACTCCTTTTAAAAGCATTTATCTGGAAATACATATACGATGTGCATTTTTGTTAAGGCAGTTCTGCAAGAATTTCTGAACTGCTAGGAAAAAAAATCATAACTACACAAAAAGCCTGACTAACCTCTGTTTTCCTGTTGCAAGTCTCTAATCTGTGTGTTCTCTTGGGACAGCAGAATGTGAGGCTTGTATTTAGACATGTCCTTCACATCGGATGCATCCTCTTGATACTGGACAAACAGAAAGACAGACTAAGCGCGCCGAGAACAGCGGCGGATACAACTGAAGACGTAGGAGTCAAGAGCTCCAGGCAGTATTCTCAGTCCCAACTCGGCAGATGCCTCAGCGCAGCCTTCTAAGGCCGGGAACAAATTCCACGCCGAGTTCCCAGTTTACCTCGCACTCCACACCTGAAGCGCCCAGAACCCGAGGGCACGAATCCCCCCTCTCTGCCTGACCTGGTCCGGAAGAGCCGCCCCAGCCTCACGCATAGCTGCCACCCGCCGGTGCAGTGCCGCCGACTGATCCACCAGCGACTCGGCGGCCGCGTCGTGCTCCCGCAGCCTCTCCAGCAGAGTCTTGGCGTCCGTCAGGATCTTTTCGATGGTGCAGGTCATAGCCGCTGCTCGACCTCGCCTGCCCAAACCGCTCACATACGCGATTCGCTCAGATCTCCCTTGAACCCGTCTCAGCGTAACATGCGTCACTTCCTGATAAGTTGGGAAACCGCCTCGGCCGCCGGGATCTACGCGCCTGCGCAATGACAGCCATGTCCGCAGGTTGACCTGCTTTAACCAGCGGCTTCGCTGCAGCCCCGTCCTTTGCAGAGCTGGAGGCCCGCCGCTGCCACGCCCTTGTTTGCCTGTTCCTACAGCATGATGGGTTTATCTTTTTTCTACTGGCTTTTGGTTGATGTGGATTTCTTACTTAGCCATCGTTATGCCCGGCTTTCCTATTTTTCTTTTTTTAAATTCAATTAGTACATTGAAAATAAAATTAGCCAGTACAACAATAACTTTTGTGCTATTTGTTATATTCGTTCATATGAGTTTTCTTTGTCAAGTTTGTATGTCAAACTTTGTATTTTTTCATTCATTAATTTAATAAATATTTTTGGGGAGCCTTCTTTGTTCCAGGCACTGTTTAGTCTTTGGGAACACAGCAGAGAATAAGACACAAGGTCTCTGCCCTTAAAGAAAAGAAAAGAAAAAAACCCCAAGACCACATGTGTTACAGAGTAGAACTGTTCCATAGGGTTTTCTTGGCTATAATCTTTATGGAAGCACATGACCAGTTCATCAGGCCTTTCTTTCACGGAGCTGCTGGGCAGATTCGAACCACTAACATTTAGGTTAGCAGTCAACTGAACACTTTAGCCACCCAGGCTTCCTCTCTGCCCTTGGGGAGCTTATACTCTAATGAGAGAAGGAGAGTATATACTCCAATGAATAATTTAAGGCAGTGACAGGATTAGGAGTCTGGTGAAGGAGTGAGAGTGCTAGAGCCTTAGGGAAAGGTCAGAGAAGTGCAGGAGAGGGAATTTAGACTTTTCTATGCTATTCCCAACAGCTGGCACAGCAGAGACAATAATTGTTAAGGGGGGAGACGGGGAACAAGCATAAGAAAAATAACAAATCAGGGCCACTGACCAACGGGAAAAACATTAATGCAGAGCCACAGAGGTAAAGAGATTTCATTCAAAACAAAAGAAAAACACCCTGCCTGAGTGATCTCTTTCATTTGGCTTTGACTTCCGTCTGCCTGTTTGTTCTCAAATCCATCTCTGTAGTTCAAATCTCTTTCATTAACTTAGAATATATATCTAGTTGTGTATACAATGTTTCCACAGTGACAACCTACAGGCGCCACAAATTCAACATGGTCTAAAACTGACCTCATTAGCTTTGCCTCCAAACCTGCTTCTTCTCTTGTCTCAGTAAAGAGCATGTTCATACACCCATTTGCCTAATACAGAATCCTGGAAGTCATCGTTTACTCTTCCACTTTCTTATTTCTCACATTTAATCAATTACCAATCTATCTCCTTTATATCTTTGTGGTTAGTTGTTAGATGCCCTTGAGTTGGTTCCGACTCATAGCGACCCTGTGTACGACAGAACAAAACACTGCCCAGTCCTGCACCATCCTCATGATCATTGTTATACCTGAGCCCATTGTTTCAGCCACTGTGTCAATCCATCTTGTTAAAGGTCTTCCTCTTTTTCGATGACCCTGTACTTTACCAAGCATGATGTCCTTCGCTAGGGATTGATCCCTCCTGATAACATGTCCAAAGTATTTGAGATGAAGTCTGGCCATCTTCGCTTCTAAGGAGCATTCTGGCTGTACTTCTTCCAAGACAGATTTGTTCGTTCTTCTGACAGTCCATGGTATATTCAGTATTCTTTGCCAACACCATAATTCAAAGGCGTCGTACATATTTTCTTATTTGCATTTTCACTGTTACTGAGTAGTTCGGGCTATCACCCTTTCTCATTCAGATAAAGCAACAATCATCCGACTACCTCAGGTCATCTTTTCCTCTAACAGGTGTCCATCAAGGACACCACAAGCCCTGCTGCCCTATCAGTGGAGGGCAATTATTCTTCTACGTCCTGCCCACTTTAGGACTGAGAACTAGACCGGTCATTCTAATTCCCCAGTGACACTTCCAAGCAATTACTCTTCCATGCGTTTGTAAAATGTTACTTTATTTGAAGTTTGCATCACTCAGCTGAAAATTCTTCGATCCTTCCTCATTGCTGAACTTTTAACTTGGGAACTGTATTCATAGAAAATTTTAGGAGTTGGCTTACAGTCTTTTTGCTTATTGTTGTTGTTGTTAGTTGCTATTGAGTAGAAACCTATTCATGGCAACCCCATGTGTGCATAGTAGAACTGCACTGAAGGGTTTTCAAGGCTATGACCTTTCAGAAGCAGACTGCCAGGCCTTACTTTCCAGGTGCCTCTGGGTCTGAACAGCCAATTTTTTAGTTAGTTAACCATCTGTGCCATCCAGGGATTCCTTCTTTTTGATTATCCCGTTTTTTGTTCTCATCTTCGGTGACATCCTTGTCCATCGGACAACTTATCTAACGTCCTACCCTTCGCTGACCTCTTTAGTTATAAAACAAAAACCAGTCCCATTGCCATCAAGTTGATTCTGACTCACAGTGACCCTATAGGACAGAGTAGAACTGCCCCATACGGTTTCTAAGGCTGTAAACCTTTACTGAAGCAGATTGCTGCGTCTTTCTCCGAAGGGAGTGGCTGGTGGGTTCAAACTGCCAACCTTTCGGTTAGCAGCTAATTGACATTCATTGCATCCCACGACATGTCAACACCTGATTCTGATTCTTGACTTTACCTCCGTATTTAGAGCCCTGCTCCTACTTTTTGGGCTTGGCGTTAGTATTTGTTCTTTGCTGCTTGATTCTTGCTTTTTCCTCAAGGACATGACTCAGATCCACCTTCGTACTTCGGATCTCAGAATCAAGTTCTGTTTGGGGCTGACAATAGTGCTTTAAAATTAGATTGTGGTGATGGTTTCACAACTCTGTGAATATACCAACAACCTCTGGAGCACTGGCCAGTGCATAAGAAGAAGAATAGTAGCTTTTATTTATACAGCATTCATAATCATCACAACAACCCTATGAGGTAGATATGACCATTTTCCCTATTTTTACTGAGAAGGAAGATGGAACACAGAAAAATTCTGTAATTTTCTCTAGGTTTTGCAACTTATAAGTGCCAGAGCCAAGATAAGAGCAGGGAGTCTGGCTTCAGAACCAGTGCTCTTAACTATGCTATAGTGCTATGGTAGTGGTGTGTAGGGAGTTAATAAATATGTCTGCTTTTCTCATTGAAAAACGAAGTAAAGTCAGCTGCTTAGAGTGGTATTGGGGGGTGACTGAATGGTGCAAAGATTTGGAATAACTGAATTACCGAAGTGAATCAGAGGGTGTATCATTTATCTATCGCTGCATAATAAACTACCCCAAGATGTAGCGGCTTAAAACATTAGCCATATATTTAGTTCATGAGTTTCTGGGTGGTTCTTGTCTGGATCAGGCTTGGCTGATCTCTGTGTACAATTGGTTGATCAGCAGAGGGCTAGCTCGTCCTGCATGGATTCAATCACATGTCTGGTGGTAGGCTGGCTGTTGACTGGGATAATAAGGTGACTGGATCATGTGTCTCTCATCCTCTAGCAGGCCAGCCCAGGCACGTTCTGATGACTGCAGAATGTACAAGAGCCAAGCTCCAATGTACAAGTGTATTTAAAATCTCTGCTCAATGCCGCCACGCTACAATGTCCCACTGGTCAAAGCAAATCATGTGGCCAACCTACGTTCAAGGAGTGGAGAAATAGATTCCACTTCTTTATGGCAAGGACCCTGGGTGAAGCAAGTGGTTTGCAATCAGCTAACCTAAAGTTTTGTGAACTACCAAGTGGTACCTTGGAATAAAGGCCTGGCAGTTTGGTTTTGTTTGGTATCACATGTGATACATTTCCTAGGACATCCGTAAATATGAATGTGAGTGTTATGGGCTGAATTGTGTCCCCCCAAAAGATATGTTCAAGTCCTAACCTCTGCTACCTGTGAATGTGATCTTATTTGGAAATAGGGTCACTGCCGATGTAATTATTTAAAATGAGGTCATGAGGGTGGACCCTACAACAATTTATAACTGATATCCTTATAAAAAGAGGAAAATAGCTACATAGAGACACAGACGGAAGACAGCCATGTGAAGACTGAGGCAGAAATTAGATTTTTGCTGCCACAAACCAAGGAATGCCAGAGGCTACCAGAAGCTGGAAGAGATAAGGAAGGCTCTTCCCCTAGAGCCTTTGGCAAGAACAGGAGTCTGCTTACACCCTGAATTCAGAGTTCTAGCTTCAAAACAGTGACAGAATAAATGTCTGTTGTTTCGAGTCACCCACTTCGTGGTAATTTGTTACGACAGCCCTAGGAAAACTAATATATGAAATTTTGCAAGAAGACGAAGTCTTGGAAGAGCAAGTGGTGGCAAAAACCAGATTTTTAAAATTCCACACACAATATAAGCCATAATTCTCAAGAAGATAGTGGCTTCAATTTTTAATTGGAAAGTTAGGTAAGTATGCTTGCTTTATTTTTTCCTTTCTTTTATCTGTCAGTGGTATGTGTATGTGTAAGGAGTGCTGGCAGAGTTATAATTTTAACTGTTAATCCCAAATGGGTTAGCAGTGATTATGCAGTAGACTTCGTACACTGGAATGACCACAAGGTTTCTTCTATTCTGCTTACAAGGTTGTATATCTTTTCAATAAATGTTTAGGATTGTACAATACAATTTCTAAATAATGCTAACATTTTTGGCCATCATTAGACATCTTTTTTCCCGTTTAACAAGTGCTAATAGGGATTCTTTACTGAATTTGATTTAATAGAACTTTTTTGTTAAATAGAATAAAGTAGTTACAAAACTTAAACCTAATATATCCACCAAAATCACAAAAGTATCTTTAAATAATAATAATCACAACAATAATGGGCACTTATTAAACACTTTCTAGGTTTTAGGCATGTGATAAACATTTACAAGTATTACTTGATTTAATCTTTCACACAATTCTGAGAGAAATATTAGTAAAAGATATTGGTTGTGTTTTAAAACTTTCTAAAATATTCTAAATGTAATAATGGTAAGATCATTATACCA